AGGGAAAAATATCTTGCGATTAGGTTGGCGGCTATGATGGAGAATCTCGTCAATGTCTCTCCAGTGTCGAGTGTTATAACCCAGAAAAAGATCAATGGAAACCTGTACCAGAGATGTCCGCGCGTCGTAGCGGTGCGGGTGTCGGTGTCCTGGATGGTATTTTATACGCGGTGGGAGGTCATGATGGTCCACTGGTTCGAAAAAGTGTAGAAGCATTTAATCCAGAGACCAACCAATGGACTCCCGTCAGTGACATGGCACTTTGCCGTCGTAACGCCGGTAAGCGGTTGCTTTTGGATATTATTGCGTTTGATTATTTTCCCTCTAACCATTATATATCTAATATGAATGCAACGAATAGGTGTCGTGGCATTGAACGGACTTTTGTACGTTGTGGGTGGAGACGACGGTTCTTCCAGTTTAGCATCAGTAGAAGTGTATTCTCCAAGAACTGATACCTGGACCACCTTGCCGACTTGCATGGGAGTAGGACGTAGTTACGCTGGTGTAGCTATTATCGATAAACCAATGGCCCCCGCGATGACAATGTGAGGTCTACAATCCGCTGGGCATGCGACAGAACAGAACACGGACCCGGGTGCCGAGATATCAGACTCGTCGCGGGAAGCCGGGCCCAGCGGTGTGCAAAATCGCGGCGCGAGCCATAATTGTCAGGGCCCGCGTTGCGTTTGTCAGCGATACGAGAACGGCGAATTAGCCGCGGTGATAATGAATCAAGGTAGAAATAATCAAGAGAGGGAAGATAACTATCAAAACGTGGGTCACGCACCCTCGCGCGCCTTTCCACAAAATCGTCCTAGCAACAATATGCTACAGATTCATCCGAATTTGAATCCAAATTATCAAAATCCGATCGATTTGATACGTAATTACAATCGTCGACTACAGCAGCAGCAGCAAGAACCGGAGGAGAATATTTATGAACGTTTGGACAATGACGATGACGAGGACAGCGATGAGAACGCGGAGGTTTCTCGGAACGAATCACTAGCTCAAAACAATCAAAATAACGGGGATAATCATACATACGAGAGAATAAACGAACGGATATCGTGCAGTAGTAGAGCGCATTGTCGTTATTACAAATATCATGTACCTGCTCATAGTTTCTTGAATGATGTGGAGGGTACCAGAAATGCGAGCCAATACGATCAACCGAGACAGATCTACATTGATTATTCCCGACTAAGTAGTAACTTTCATCAAAACTCCTTGAATAGATTAGGTCGTAATTGCTTTTCCACGGAAAACATCGCGTATACTTCCACGAGACGCTCCGCACATCCATTCGCGTATAATTGCACATGTCCATATTGTAGACATGCAGACGCGAGATACATCTGTCATCATTGTAATAATCTACACAATAGATCACGGTATCAGGACGCCGCTAATTCCAGGCATTACGTATATCAAGTCTCGAGAAATTGCAGATGCCCGTTTTGTCGCGGCGAATACTCTTATACAAAGTTTCCCGCTAACGCTCTTCGCGCCGCCGAATTATTCAAAATGGAATGTTGCCACTGTAGAAACCCCGCCAATTGCACTTGTCGCGGTAAAATTCTGTCAGATTCAAATTCTGCGATTTACATCGGAAGATATCTGGATTGGATTAATCGCACCGGACAATCCGTCAATAATCCTTTATACGCCATGATTCATGTCGGTAGGATGGATCGCTCATCGATGCTTCCTGGCCACGGAAACACATCCAACAGCGGAAATCCACCTAGCAGCGCAGATCCTGGCCCGTCGACATCTAACGCGGCATCTAATACGAGATTCGGTGAATCGAATCCATCTTCAAGCTTGCGATCTGTATTCGCTCCCGGCGCTTCTACATCGAACGCTTCTATCTGTCCCGTAAACCGGTACATAGAACGCCAACATACTTGCGACGATTCTTGTATTCGCAGCCAAAGTGGCAATCTAACTGGAATATGTCAGCTTCTCGGCAGATGCGAGAGAACCGAATGCAATCACGGGAGACTCTCGGTACATTGGTGGTTCGTGAATAAATGGCTTCCGTTATGGAATTCTCACAATCTCGATAGGAACGTGGACGGCGATAGATCATGTCATGTAGACGAAATATCACGAGAACAGCGGGAAAGCGATAGCGATGATTCTTAAATCGAAGAATCTTTTTATCATTCGAGTGCCTGTTTTGCCTGTGTTTCGAATATTCAATATATCTTCCATTGATTCTCACTATTCGCAACGTGATTACGATTTAGTTCCCCCAGGTAAGACAATAAATTCATATATCGCGACTTTGGAATATATTTAATGAATATTGTTGGGGGTTTGTTTTTTAATTGGAAGCAATAATCATTTAGGTGATTATTTGTCATAAGTGTGTTATACAGAATTTTCATTTTCATATCTTATTCGAATATTGTAAATCCATTCTATACTGTCATTTTAATGAATGTACGAGAATCTATCTATAAATTCATACTATTATCCAATGTACATATAGTATAGTATGTGTGCTCTCTCATTTTTACTTCAGCATTTTATTTTATTTATTTACCAGAATTTCATGCTGTTGGTTAAATATCTGTAGGTACACTTTTTCGAAAATATCGAATAACAATTGTCTGAATATCTATTGATGTCACTGTGTGTATATATAAATGTCTGCAAATAATAGAGCTTATAAAAACTTTTCAACTTTGTGACACTCAATATTGACAAGTTCAACTAAGTCGATATCGTAGCTGTGATATAAATTAGGTTGTTTAATTTTAATGGATTAATTCTAAAGATTATATTATAATTTTACATTTGTTTGAGTTACTTTCTAAATTTTCTGAAGTGAGACGAATGCGTTTGAATGCATATCTGAGAGAAAATAATTTTGAAAAAGAAACAAAAAAATATATATACGTTTTTATACAAAATATGACGCGAACAAATTTGACTAATATTTCATAGTATTCACATATCGGACAAAATAATTGCTTGTTTTCGTTAATATAATATATGTAATTTAAATGTTATGATATTTTTAGTATACTCGACTTAATCAATATTTATTTAAGTTATATTTTTACACAATTACAAAAATTAATCTAATTAAACGATTAAATCACTTAGTTCCCCCATGAGTGTTTGCGCCATTATCGGTGCTTTGCAATATTATACAAATGCTCCTTTGAAAGTATAAGGATTTATTACATGATTGTCATATATTTGTCTGTAATATTCTCTATAAGACTTCCTCTCTCTATATATCTCTCTCTATAATGATTTAATTAAAACGTATTGCGCCAATACACATGCCACGAATCGATATGTATATGTGCTTTTTTGCGCGTATATATGTCTATATAGCGCTTTCAAATGAAACATGTATTCTCTATGAGGACAAGTACAGATGACAACACAAATGCCTTAACACATGAACTTATGCAGATATTGAAACACATCTGTATTTCCCATATATATATATATATATATATATATATATATATATATATATATATATATATATATATATATATATATATATATATATATATATATATATATATATATATATATATATATATATATATATATATATATATATATATATATATATATATATATATATATATATATATATATATATATATATATATATATATATATATATATATATATATATATATATATATATATATATGCAAAATATATAAATGTGCCGATATGTGCATAAATTTGTGTGTTAAAGTATTTGTGTTGTCGAGCGTATATTTAAAGCGATATTACGATGCTTTATTGTTTTAGAGAGTTAAATAATGTTCGATACATATGTGTTATCTTCTCAACTTGAACATGTTTCGTCATATTTAGCTCATATTATAAGCATATCCGTTATAAAGAATATCACGATATATTAAATATACAATGTTGACCCGAGGGCTTATAGATCAGTCAAGTCAACATGCTGCTAGGCGAACAAATACTATATAGTTAATTGTACATTGTTTTCTTTTAGCATAAGATCGAGTAAATAAATCGAATCTCCTTCTTCGTATCCAAGATATTGAAACACATCTGTATTTCACATATATATATATATATATATATATATATATATATATGCAAAATATATAAATGTGCCGATATGTGCATAAATTTGTGTGTTAAAGTATTTGTGTTGTCGAGCGTATATTTAAAGCGATATTACGATGCTTTATTGTTTTAGAGAGTTAAATAATGTTCGATACATATGTGTTATCTTCTCAACTTGAACATGTTTCGTCATATTTAGCTCATATTATAAGCATATCCGTTATAAAGAATATCACGATATATTAAATATACAATGTTGACCCGAGGGCTTATAGATCAGTCAAGTCAACATGCTGCTAGGCGAACAAATACTATATAGTTAATTGTACATTGTTTTCTTTTAGCATAAGATCGAGTAAATAAATCGAATCTCCTTCTTCGTATCCAAACGTATATGGAAATTTGTTTTATGCGATTATGAATGATTGAACTATATCTATTATACTGTCCATGCACAGTAATTGACCACCTGCGTATGAACGATTTCTTTGTTGTATACAACGGAGAGGAATTTGCGTTATTTTAAGTTTCTTTTTTTTACAATTTAATTTTCCGCGCTAAAGAACACAAAGAGATCTTATCAGACTTTGCAAGAGCAAACATGTCAACGTTATTTATCACGGTTTAATGCACATATACAGCGTTATATATATATATTGTACCAGGACCTTTTTTTTGTAGACGCCCCCGCGAGCGTCAAGGCCAACCGCTATCACTTCGATGTCACAATGGTCCTAGTACTAATAGCATTCTATTTAACTAGTACCGCGATTAGTTAGCGACTTCGTATCGGCAACATGCATATAACATAAATTTTACGAATAAATTTCTCAAGGAACCACTGAAGAGAAAAAAAAAGATATGAATAGACGCGGGAGTCGAGAGTTTAAAACTATACACGTGGGATTTTGACATTTCGATCCACGTGTATAAGTGGCTCCGTTGATACGAATCAGGAAACTATAGAGAAGAGGACGAAGTATCAAATCGGAATAGTTGAAAATTAAATATAACGGAGAACAGAGGGTACGCTTTCTTGCGTAAGTGTCATTGACGTGTATTATGATCGATAGCCGGAACGACACTTAAAGTATGTGGGCGTTGGCACTTCACGTGACTTGTCACCTTCGAATTCCGTTTCATTTCTCGATTCGATTTAAAATCTCTAGCAAGAGTACAATAACGAATGCGTCTTTTTTTTTTACTCAGGGCAATCGTCTACCGACAATAATCACCATCCATATATGTCGCTCGCGACTTGAAGTGACAAATTCGTCGTAACTAGGGGAGACAATCGTTCGTATATATGACGAATTTATTGCAACCGTTACGCGTGCATAATCAAGCGTGAATCATGGAATTGTCGCGCGTGAGTGCTGCAAGAGTTGCGAAACTCGGGTCGTACGGCGTACGTGTCACGTGCGCGAGCAATTCTTTTTTTCGCGGTGCTGGTTCCGGTTGAATTTATTACGCGACTTATTTATAATTCTATAGCAGTAGGTTACGGTTGTAACACAGAAGCCGCGTGTATAGGAAGACAAACAGAAGCGAAAAATTGAACTTCTTTTTATTTACTTACACACACACACATCTTTCTCGTTTTTAAATCAAAGCAAGATGGGAAATTCCTCAAAAATATTTTCGTCGCAAATGATACCTGAAGATGGGCGCATAAATTCAATAAATATTAATAATGTAATAATTAATTTTTTTTTAAATGTATACAAACAGTCAATGTTTGTCTAAAAATATTGTCAGAAGCAATATTTTTGCTCGATTTTATTTCTCATATAAATTCAAAAGTCGTGAATAAATAGAAAATCATTTAGTGTCTAAATATTAGGTCTACCGGAAAGTTCTGTCCGTTTTTGGAATAAAACAAAATACAAATTTTTATTACCGTCAATAAACTTTATTAAATAATGTAATTGCCATTATTATTAATGATTTCTTGCCAGCGTGAGGGCAATTTGTATATCCCTTTTTCGAAAAATGTTTTATCTTTTGATGCGAAAAATTGAACCAGTGCTTGTTTGATATCTTCTTCATTTTTGAATTTTTTGCCCCTCAAAAAATTTTGTAAGGACAAAAACAAGTGATAGTCGGTGGGTGCTAAGTCCGGGGAATATGGTGGATGCGACAGAATTTTCCAGCCTAGTTCTGCAATTTTTTGACGAGTATCCAAAGCAGCATGTGGCCTGGCATTATCATGATGCAGTATGATGTTCTTCCTATTGTACATCGCCGGCCTCTTTTCTTGGACTGCTGTATTTAAATTATCCAGTTGCTGACAATACTTCTCCGAATAATGGCAATTACATTATTTAATAAAGTTTATTGACGGTAATAAAAATTTGTATTTTGTTTTATTCCAAAAACGGACAGAACTTTCCGGTAGACCTGATATATTACTCCTTTGTTATATTATCATGTTTTAAAAATATATATACTATTTTGATTACATTAGCGTGCATCGATGATATGACAGTAAGAATATTTAAAAATGTAGAATGTTTGTTGTGAAAACTTGACGCTAGTGAGTGATTGCCAAGATTTTCAACAGAATCCTGCAATTATCGTTTCGAAATCGGGATCAGCCGATCATGTATCCGCATTATTACACAGAGAGGAGGCTGCACTCGATCTCTCTTACAGAGAGGCTTCCTTCTCTCAAGGGTAAGGAAAGGTGTCGCCTGCCGAGCGTTTGCGCATGGTTCATTGTCGGTTGCACAACAATGAACTCTAACGAGGGTAAGCCTATCACGGGCTCGTGCGCACCAGGCATTCGGTTCCCTTTCAGTCCTTTCTTCTTCAGCTTCACCGACATATATGTGTCGTTAATATCGATTTACGATCTTATTTCTTACTTGTATACATTCACGTGGTACTTTGAAACAAGTTCTTTGTGTACAGAATTGATTACACGCCAATCGAAATATAATTAATCAAATATCGAAATTATTATTTTAAATTATTTACGCACGTATGATGCACGCGTATAATATCATATTTAATTCATTAAATCTTTGAGAATACAAAACAAAAATTTGATATTCTTTATAATATGGATGACATAAATCGACAAATTAATTTTTTTATTGCCTTGTAAAAATTTCCTCGAATTTGACGATTCTCTCCCCCTCCGCCAAATTAACGGACTTGACGATATTAATATAATTGTTTCTCTGAAACTCTTTTGTTTCAGATAATCTTTAAGCTTGCATTAACGCTATAACGATATCTCGCACGAATAACGTAGATGCGACTCTTCTAAAGATGTCAAGATTACCATTGCGCAATTGTCAAACACATCAAAGGCAAATAGACGAACAGAAAAACATTAGTTGCGTAATGTCAAATGGAATCAAACTCGAGAAATGACGTAGAGCCAGTTCAATATGCGGTTTTGTATCGAACATTTCGGATGCGAGTAAGAATGAGATTTTCTTATACATATATATGTATACATATTTAGGTTTCTCCTACGCTTATTTACATTTATTACGACAAGTGACGCATGCAATCACGCCTTACCGGGAAATGTTGAATCGTGGATTTGCCCCGGAAGCAAACGTGACTTGTGTCGTATTTATATTCGGATCTTACGTTCATATGCATTAACTAAAGTGCGCACATAATTCTATATTTGTCACACCACTTTGTTTGCTTTACAAGATATAAAGATGCGTTCTGAAAGACGTTGGTCGTATCGGAGAAAGTAAGTGGGAACAAAGAGAGTAATTAATAGGGCAATTATATTCTATTTGAATAAATTTTAATGGAAAGAAAATATCGGATATCGTGTTCCTCCTTTTTCTGCCTCTTTGTGCAAGAAAGAAAGCCATATATTAGGGTTAATAAGTATCGATTTCTTGATGCAAAAGAACGATTGAAATTCTGATTTGCAAGTACAATCAAGCATCGTAAAAAAGTCCAACTCTTCTCATTCTTATTTATTAAACGTTACACATTTTTTGACAATTGAAAAAGAAAAGTTATTATATGATTAAACTCTTGCATTAACAAACTCGATTTGATTAGAAATTACAGATTTAATTTATCGTTGAAAACAAGCAGAGAGAGAGAGAAAGAGAGAGAGAGAGAGAGGAATTACGTGCGCGAATAAAAATAATCGAAAGTAAAGCGCAAGATAAGAGTTGAAAGTCATTACATTAATGACCCCTCGCTGCGATGAAGAATCAAAGGTATGATCGAAATTAAAGGTAGGGAGCACCGAGACAGAGAGAGAGTGAGAGGAAAAAAGAGAGAGAGAAAGAGAGACAATTGGGAAGGGATATACACGTAGCGTAAAAGTAAAAGAACCCACACCGCGCGAGTCGCGCTTACTCGCACGATCGAGGGACACTTCTCTTTATTCTCGTTCTCTCTGTGTGCACAGCTGGTTAAAAAGTCTTCTTCTCCTTCAGTCGTCGTTCGCCAATGCGACCGATACTGCACGGCATTATCGCGCCGCATCGCGAATTGCTCTACGTGTGTGCGCGCGAGCGTGCGTTTCCTTTTTCGTCTTTTTTTTTTTTTCTTTTTAATCGTTTGCCGATTTTTCCGATTAATTTTCGAGCAATTACGTACTCTCTCAGAAAGATTCTTCGGGTACGCGAAGTGAAAGTGGGAACGGGTCGGATGGATCTTTAATGCATTCTGGATCGGTTTGCCCCTGCTCATTCGCGCGAGTTCGAGTTACGGGCTGTAAAAGTGTGCGAATGTAACGTGCGCGTTAATGCCAGGTAAGATTATGCCATCCCATTTGCATATTCGAGAATTACGATCAATTTTCTCTTTTACTATTTGCATTTATTTGCATAAGTCAGTCATAATTGTATTATAGCCTATATATTATAAATAATTATATATAAATAATTGTGCTGCTCTTTCGTAATTAGCCGTTCTTTTATGTAGAATAAAAGAAGATATTCGTTGGTCACGCGATGAAAAATATCGCCGGCATACATGGCGTATTAAATCTGACTTGAGATCGATTAAATAGCATTAATCAAGGAGTCTGCACGCGAGTTATCACTTTGCGAATCAATTAGCCATCTCTGATTAATTTATTTCCATATCCTAAAATATTGATATTACTTCAATGTAACGAGTGAATTACAGGGAGAGAAAAATTTGTTACGAATTTTTCGTAGAGATCATTTTCTTTCTACGCCGATCTCGAGTATATTTTGTAAAAAATAGAGAGTGTTTCGACAAGATAGGATAGTCCTGCTTTTACCTTTAGTGAAAACCGTTTTGCATATTCGACTGGAAACACGGTAATCCCGGTGGGCGAAAGTAACGAGCGGCCAAACTCGTTCGACTTTCCAAATAAATTTCGTCGGCCCCCTCGTTGGCGTAACAATCATTATTTTATCAACGTTCTGCATTAAAATAGGTCGTTTTAGTTGTGCTTTTTGCGTTTAAAAACGAGATAGATTAGGAGGAAAGAAATAAAATGCGGAAACTCTACGGGTAAATTGCGTATGTCTTTGTATGTAATTGTATTTATGTAATTGTGATTCACAACACAATCATTATTGTTGCCGAGGTATTTTATACCTTTTAATTTGTGCAAATTATGTTTACGATATAATCAGACTATTTTAACACGATTGATATCATATCGCAGGTTCGTTACTTTTGCTATTTTTGTATGTGCGTTGAAAATTTGTCACAGCACAATTTAGAATAGATTAGAAACACAGAAGTTATCTTCACTTTATTTATTTTGCTTCAGTTTTTGAATTTAAATTTTGATTCACATGATCGCCTTTTACTCATTACGTATCAACGCTATCTCACTGCTTGATCCGGGACGCGGAGCACTTTCTACGGACGAGTGACTCAACGAATTAGAGTTATTCTCCCTTCGTACAAGCAGATAGCTTACACTCGAAAACGTGATCGCGATCTGAATTAACAATTGTTATGGATTTTTTTTTCAAACAATGGATGAAGAATTTGTTGTGCGATGATCTTAACTCCCTATTTTATTTACTATTTTTTTTTTTTTAATTTCAGCGATAAATTTTAATGAAATTTTATTATCATTGCAATGTTTTCCGGCGGTGATAAAAATACTTTATTTGTATAACTCTTTTTTGACATAATACAGTATTATAATTTCCTCGATGTTTCAGTGCGATCTCGTTACTTTATGAGAGAAGCAAAGAGAAAGCGGTGATCTTGATCAATCTGATCACTTGTCACGTCTTATCAATATCCAGATCAATTTTGCGACTGATCATGCCGCTGCATCGACGTTATTGATCGAAAAAGAGGCAGATCGGATTTGCAAACGGAATTTGAAGGCGATCAATCACGTGTCTAGGAAGCGGAACCGATTCGATATGATTGCGACCAGGGAAGTATCTTTACTCTGGACAATCTCGGTCCCCTTGTCCTTGGAGCTTATGCCAAAGTCATCAATGTCTCTATCATGATCCCCTCAACGAGGAAACGAGTCTGTCCTACGCCGGATCGAGTTAACAGTCGACGCAGCCTTTCGAGAGATTTGTCGTCCGCGTGAAGGACGAAGTCTTAAAATCTGGAGATTATCTGGTGCTCGCAACACGCGTTGAAATGGCATTGGTGAATTTCAGTCTACCATATCAGTCGGCGACAATGGCGCCGTTCCTGTACACCGGAGGACACACAACGGCCAACAGTCTCGGCTTGAACACGGTGTTACCGCCGGGATCTGTGCCGAGCTACAACGAACAGGAGACTTTTCGTAACGAACCCTACGCACCACCGGTCAAGTACCATCAGCATCGACGTCAGTCTGCTCCGCAGAGAAGTCAGGAGATCTACGCGGAGCACACGTCTTTCTCGTCAACGCAGAATACTCGTTACACCGCGTATAATCAAGATTTTAGAAGAATACAGCCGAGGCTGCAGCAGCAACAGATGAGACCACCTCCTCCTTCACCGTTTCAGCAGCAGCAGCAGCATTCTCGATCGCCGGAGCCGATCAAGTCTCGGATAGAGGAACAAGACCAGAATTATCCGGAAAGACCTCATGGGTAAATAGAGATATATTTCCTCTTCTTCTCTCTTTCTCTCCTTTTGTTGAGAATATTATATTCTATCGGCATTCATTTAATATGTTTAAAGTTATACAAGAGTCAATGGCGGAAGCTCCATCGGTCCGGATACTAAAACTTCGGTCCACGCCGTGTTGGACTACGATGATGATTTTGACGATTATTATGACGACGAAGATCAGAACGTACCAACGAACGCACAGGTCACACCTATCCAAGGTCCAATCTTTCTGAAAAATGGTTCCGTTCCTGTAGTGCCGCTGTATCCATATCCTCAGCTAAATAATGGGACATTCGTGCAGATACCAGTGAGTTTTATGCTTCGCCCAGCTTTTGCTTTCTCTTTCTATTTTTTCTTTGATCAAGATGATGATATTGATGTTATAAATATGAAATATGAAATATAATCAAGTATATATATTTGAATCGAACGTACCGTATAATGGATAATTATTAATTGTCTCGTTGTCTGAATAAAAGCGGATACGCCGAAGCAAACAAAGCGTCTGAAATTATTCTCAATAATACGCGAATTCGCGGTTGATAATCGACAAATGCGACCGTGGCCACAGGGACTTTCAAAGTCTATAGCAACGCGTGACATTTCCCGCGTAGAGCAACCATGACCCCCGGAGTATCTTTGTTAGAGAATCAACGAGAATGTATGATCGGACACAGATGCATACACTTGTCTTAAGCGTTTCGTCGTGAATCCCTTTTACCTCTCTCTCGCGTTATTTCCATCTTCATTCAACGCCTCCTGCAATGACTCCTCTGTAGGTCGCGACAGAATTCTCTTGAGGTCAACCACCATACTGACATTGAGATGGTAAACCGTCAACTTTGTATTATATGTCGTCAAACGTATCGATTCAGTGGTTTTTCAATCGAAACGAACTATTGTCCGTTAAATAATTAAAGATTATGATGATTTTGAATGAACTTATACGCATATTTCGAATATTCGTACGGAAAATAAGAATCTAATCTGTATCGAAACGGAGAGAGAATTGATTCGAGTTTATATGATTAAAAGCAAACAAGTTGTACGTTACATTGTACGTGATTTAATCGAGCATAATCAGCTCAAGCGATTAATTGATATTCCGAACGCTCTCGATCGTTTATTGGTCGCGCAAATAAATTATGAATCATCATTAATTATTCTTTTATCTATTATTCGTGAATGAGATTTTACATTGACGTACAATGGAATTAATCAGTAGAATGGTTCAGTCGGGGAATTGATAAGAATCGAAAGAAATTCGAATATGCCACATTATGATCTTCGGCGGAGAAACATATTAAAATAAAACGGCCGGCTAGGAACTCTTGATGACGATTATGCGTAAATCATTTAGGAGTGTTGCGAATGTCCTTATTTGCGAGACTTGCTAAGAGATGAGAGTCCACCATCGTAGACTACCGAAATTTCTTCATTCTTACGACACGCGACCTCGTCACGCGTGCCCACACGTCGCACTTATCGTAGGCTCAAAGTAATTTCTTAGATAATCGTTATCTTTACGACATTCGAAGAGAGAATTTTCTTCGCTTATTATTCTTTTTATTTCATTTAATGAGGACATTGTCCGAAAACTATTTTTCATTTTCCATGTCTCCATATAAGATTATATCGAAAGTAAAAGTTTCTGAAAATTCGAGTTTTCCGCTTATTTTTTTCGAAACTATCTAATTATAATAATAATAAATATATTTTTTATGAAATTCAAATATTATCTGTTGAAATTTCTCTTATGAATTTAATCGCGTTGCTCGAAGTGAATTAAAATGTTTGACATTTTTGCGACTTTTATCTCAGTACTTGTCATAAATATTCAGCATTCCGGTTCTAATTCGCCTTTCTCTTCCTACTGAAACATTCCAAAAAAAAACTTCGGAGAAATCTAATTTTCAAATTTCATATACATATGGATAATAATTGACTCAGCTTCCTTGCGCTGTATGAGTCATTTCTTGTGGGCAATGCACCGCGCCGTAATCAACGTCAGAATTCTCTCGTATTATGAATGACGCCCACTGGATGCTGACTAGAAGTTATATTGAAAGATAAATGTAGGAAGGTGATCTTTAATTAACTAATATCGACTTCCGGTATAGATAAATACGCAGAGAAAAAAATGTTTATACTCTGGCGCGAAATATTTTTCTCGTAGCAAACTTTAGTTAGTTATATGGACAGCAGAAAGACTTGTCGAAAATATTAAATTTGCTGAATATTCAATTAGCATTCAGTAGATATCATTCGTAATGAAAAATTATTTGCTTTGACAGCAAATAATAGATTTATTCGATAAAATTTTTCTGTTTTATTAGGAAAACACAAGCTTTGTTTTAAAATTGTTTTGCAATTGAAATTTGATCGCTTTTACAATAAATATATGTAGAAACGATAGAAACAGTTACTATGACAGCAAAATTCCTTTTCTCTGTGCTGTCTTATAATATATACGCGTTGTATTTGTAATTAATAAATATTATTTAATATATCGATAAACTTTCATTTACGTACAGATACTCTGGACTGCACTTTCGGTAGCGTTAGGTGTCGAACTGAGGGGAGATTTGGTACGAGGTGTACCATGCATTAAAAGATATCATCAGCTGTTTTGTCCAACCGCCGGAAACACATATCCAATGTAAGTATAAATAATTGCATTTGTTTTATTTTATTTCCTTCCAATATATAAATCTCTAAGTTTATATTATCTCATGAAACAGAGAACAAAAAAATTATTAATATAATATATAATTGCCTAATGTAAATCGTTATATAAATAAAATCAATTGCTGCAGAGAACGAATAGAGCGTTTTATTGATGAAAATAAAGCGTTGATGAAAAGAATGTACGGCGACTTCGAGATGAATCCAGGATACGGATCGAGCGAACCTGGGCATCGCACTAGAACACGAAGAAAAAGTAGAGACGCGCGGAGGCACGACATTCCAGATGGTGGACCTAACGACGAATTACATGCAGAAGGCGAAATCGACGCGAAATATTTCAACAAGAATAGAAATACCAGAGAATCCTTCGGGAAAAACCGCAGCACAGAGAGTGGCAGGTAAATATTGGGAATCGAAAAGCTCGCGTTTGATATTATTATTGTCATTTTATATCTATTATTATATTAATCGGTATTTTTTATTGTTATCTATCATTATCATCTTCTTGTAGCATCTTGTCTTAATGAGATCCATCATTATATATTATTACACTATATTTATCAGTAATATATTTTTTGTACATCGCAATTTTTTATTCGAAAATTCTTTCTCATAAAACAGAATATCTAATAGAAAATGATTAAAGAAAGATATTGGCAATATGATATCGGGATAATAATTGCAGAATTGATGCGTGCGAATCAAAAGTTGAGATCGTGACTCCCTATTGGGCAAGTAACAGCGCTGGAAAGATTCGCGCCATTGTAAATACTCAACATTTTGAGCAGGCTATACATCAGGAAGTGTGCTCGTAAGTAAAACCGTAATAAATACAATTATATATGAAATTTTTTTAGTTCAGTGAAAAACTTTGTGAGAAACACAGTCAGTTTCATATGTGAAAAAAAGAGGCGAGAAAGGAGAAATATCATATATATAATATAATAAATTCAATTATTTATTAAAAATATATAATAAATTCTTTTTCTCTCTCTATCTTTGTATTTATGTTCATAGATATATATCTTATAGATTTATATAAGGATTAATAAAATAAATACCACATAGGCTGTATTTTTCATAGGAAAACGCAAACAAATCGGTGCAGCGGAGACTGCGGATGCGAGCAGAAATACAAATGGCATAGATTGCTCGCCTATGATCCAGACAACGATTGTAAAGGTATATTTATGGATTGGTTCCTGTTTCCCTCATGTTGTGTTTGCAGATGTGATCCGGTCAGCAACAACAAATTCTCTTCGTCACGTGCGCGAAATTGACATGTGTCGCGTGTCTATGCGTGAAGAGATGTGCCATGTAAACTGCAACGGTTCGCTCATTCTCAGTGCATTCAGATAATTATCGTCTATACGACGATTAGTATCTATCTAGTGATTCGTGATAAAAATTGTGCAACAGATAGATGCGATTTATCAGCCGATTTATCGTTTTAATTTTAAAAATTGCTAGAGAATTTTTGTAGCATTTAAAAACTTAAAAACAATATATTGATATTTCTTTACTGATAAATTTAATTAATCTTATTGACGAATTAATTTTAAATTGAATCCATTCTCTCTCTCTCTCTCTCTCTCTCTCTCTCTCTGAGATTTATATAGTTTATTTTATTCAGTGCTATATCTTTTTTCCCGATTCATAAGTTTCTCTTGTGCTTTATCATAACCCATTATGACAATAATTGCTACTATTTTCTGTGTTGCGATTAAAACTGCTACTATATTAAAATTGAAAAGAACTATTGTAATACATTATTTTTTTAATGACAAATGCAAAGCAGAGTAAAAAATTATCATACTTATGTATAATTGGTCAGCTTGGTTGGAAAAATTCAACCGATCAGCGAATAGTTTATCCGTCAAACTGAGAAAGAAATTTGCGCAATGAATATACAAACGTGACGGAAATCATTTACTTAAAACATTTATCGATATACATAATATTATTAGATTTCAAATTAATATTCTAGTAATAATAAATTGATTTACGTGAAGCATTTACGCTCGATTTTTTAAGCGACGAGAGAAACCGGTAAATCGTACCATATATGTATCTCATCTAATAAAAAAAATCACGTGTTGAAAGAAATTGAATCGGAAACGGTTTTATATAATGCGTAGAGCGGAACCATTTTCGTGATTCACATTTTATTTATAAGTAGGAAATAAATGTCTTATGTTATAGATTTTTTTTTGATAATTGTCGGCTCTTATTACAATTATAATGAAGTGTCATTATATAGACAGTGTTTAGCCCATAATGAAATGGCAGTGCGCACGAATCGCGTACAATATGCCTGCATTAATTTTATTTTTAAGTGCTTTCAGGACTTATCAAGAACAACTTTTTTAAAATAGTTTTTTTAATTTTTACAGATTTTGCGTAATATATGTAACACGATTACACTTTAATTAAGACGATACACAATCTCTCGCGCGAAGAAAATATACATGCGAAATCTATGAATCTAATTGTAAGAGAATCTCGAATATATATGAAGAATATTATTACATATATGAGAAAGATTGTTAATATGTTGGCACGGCCAGTCCCTTTTGAGAACACATTCGTCTATTATTCTAATCGCTGGACGGATACCTGATAAGCTTTTATATTTTTACCTTCTCATCTTTCGTTATTATATACTTAAGGTAATTCTTGTGACAAAAATAGAGGAAACGCTCATATACCAAGACGGTCTCAAAGTAATATGTTCTTACTTAGAACGCAACAAGGCTGAATCAATGAAGATGACACATAACAACGATGAGCCTAAGTAATTTGGTCTACATAGTGTAATTATCAAAGACGTCGTTTCGCTGAGTACGACCGGGTTAAAGCAACAAGTTTAAGCTGACTTTACAGAAAGCTCGAGTTTAAAGCCGCGTTAGCTCTTGCAGAAAAAAAACACGTTCTTCGAAAAGAAATCAAATTTACACACGATATGATTATGTTACATTCTTTATTTTGTACTTACAACATTAATTGGTGAATCAATATTACTCGTAAAAATTGCGCGCTTATTTCATTTATAATTTTCCTTCGTAAAAAATAATTGAATTACATCGAGCGAGATTATATATAAAACATATATATCTCTCTTAATCTACACTATTTTTATATGTCTTTCAAATCGTAGAATCATCGAAAAATAATTAGTCCGCAGAGAAAAAAAATTGTTAGTCACAAATTGACGATATTAAGTATTCGTAGCTATTGTGCGGAAGTTTTCTTTCCTTTCATTAGCTACTCTGACACAACTAATAAAAATCGATATGTAATAATCTATTGATCATCACTCGTTAGATTAAAAAACGCCATGTTTCGATTGTTGGAAAATATAGGCAAAGGATATCAGCGCGCCGATATAAAGCAGTCGTGTCGCAGACGCATCTGTCGCGGAATTGCACAAATCAGTGTTACAAATGTGGCAGGATTCGATTACGTCGCGTTCTGACTGTGTCGCAGAATTGCCGCATAAGCCGTTACCAACCTCGACCTCATCGTGATAGGGAGTGGAGCATTGGCGTATGACAATTCGTTCGCCATATTCTGAAATAAAATGTCAAATTAATCATTTTTTACGATTCCCATAATTATTTATCAAAGTATTCGTCTCGCGACTGACTGAAATTTTCTTTCTCCTAATGAAAAATGAAGTTTGTATATTGTTTGTGTATGTATATATGTATTTTCTCTCATTTATTGTAGAAAAAACCAATAATTTTTCTTGAAAGTATTTAGCGAAATCTCGTATCGCATTGTATCTTTCTATATCAACGAGCGCGCTGTTGATTTAATAGCATAAGATTGTCGCTTATGTAATTTTCGTATTCAGTTAATAATCATGTTGACTATTTCATGTACATATATACACACATACACACATCCGTCACGCTAGAATTCCGCCAAATTAATGTTCGATGTGCGGTTACTACCTTGAATTTATCGTGAAACTATGCAATGACAAATTTAACAACATACAAGCAAGTATAATTCTGACTGTACGTTTATGACACATCACCTGTTTCCCTTTCTAAAAAAACGTAGTTGATTGCCAAGATGACGTTAAAAAATGAGTAATTTCAAATTCATACGTTTAGATCATTATATTGGCACTTGGGAGTAAGGTATAATTTTGGTTTAAAAAAGTTTTCTTTTAAAATCTTTATGAATTGAAGGAAGATAATTGTATCATTGCATATTTGAATTAAACATACTGTCCAATTCAATTTTTCGCCAAAAAGAAATAAGAATTATTTGTTTTTCCATAAAGTTCTTCTCTACTTGAAATTTCTACGAATCACGCGAATAATATGTATTATTCCAAACAAAATTAATCAAACTTGCGAGTAATTTTTAAAGAGTAATTTTTCGCGCGTAGGTGTGTTCCCGACCTTGTTTAATGTCTAATTATCATCTGTCATTTACATATACGTCATATGATTCAACCGCGGTGTACATTACCGCGTCGTCACACTTGAAATAGAAAGGATACAACGCATCAAAAGTGCAATTTAAGCTCCATTTCGTAATACGTCATCCTCCTAACAATAAGAAATAAGCAAAGAGATGCGCGTTTCAAGATCTGTCAATCTGTGCATTTGATGTATTTCGCGGATAAAGATTTTTCTTTTTTTCGCGATTGCGTGTTTTTATATCCCGCACATATATATTCATGTATGCGTAACGATTATGAAAAGGCTATCTGGAATCCAGCACGAAAACAGATATGAGAAAACGAGAAAGAAACTAACATTTTACTTGTAAACATTGACTTCCACAGATAATTTTAAACACAATTTGTCGTGTTAGTTTAAAAAATATCATTAGAAAATTTAATGAAAATATATTAAAACTTTTCTACATAAATTTATAAGTATTAATATTAAATCGTAGTATGTTGGAACAAATAAATAAATTTTACTTTGCTTAACGATTTTTCGGCAAATAGCTTTCGAGGAGCCGTAGTAGCCCGTATCGCAGGTTTTGATATGAAACGCAGCTTGATGATCTGTGGTGTTCATAGGGTCATTGCACATGACATTTACGTTGGACGAGCAGTCCCAGCAACGTAAGGCGGAACCTATTATAAACAAAAAAAATATTATTTATGAAATTTATTGTATGATTTGGATTGTGCACGTGTCAAGGGATGCAGAACATGTGATTTTACGAAGCGCGCTATATTCTCGTGTAAAAGAGATTTTAGATACACCCTCAATGCTCGTAGAAATTTGTTTAGGAATAAAATTAAAATTGTAATCACGGAAGAAATATCTGCGCAATACAGTGATGGTAAACAGGCGTGATTAATAAGTGACGTAATGCTGACAGTGAGTAACTGTCTATATTAGTAGTGCACGCTAGAGTTCTACAACTACATACATAGTCGAGTTTCTGCCATTGTAAAAACTAAGGCACGACGCAATATCTAACTTGAGAGGAAATCCCACGAAAAGAAAATAAATGTCATGAGAAATTACGACCAGAGATATGGTTAGGACATGTAGTATTCAAGTTTTGTAATATATATTAGCACTCTATATATACATATATACGGAAGGAATCGCCTAATTTGACCATCTTAAGTTACTTAACTTACTAAACTGTTTGTATGAAAAAATGTTTCAAAAAACAAAAATTGCGTGATATCAAGAGGTACGTACGGTAATCAGTTTTTCTTTTTTTTGCTACCTTACTTTTTTATGGAGATACGAAAGTTATCTCGAGTTTTTTAAATGAAACATTTAATTTTTACTCAAAAATTTGAAAGAATATATTGTATGTCAATCAAAAAACTATAAGCAGTCAAAAATCAATAATTACTAAGATATTACTAAAATAATTTTTAACATAAATAATGCTCGAAATATTATCCATTACATTCAATACAAATGTGTAATTGATTGATTAATGAATGAGAATAAAAAACTCTAGTTAATAAATTCTAGATTCTGAGAATGATATATATATTCTAATATTTTTTTATCCAACATTTCATATTTTTTCGAATTTTGGAGTGAAATGTTGAGTGTATTATTAAAAAAAAAATTAAAATAATCTTTATATTTTGATTAAAAGATAAGAGAGATAGCAAAAAACTAATTACTGTATTATTTTTCTTGGCCATGTTATTTTTAAAATATTTTTTCATACACAAGAATTTGAAATGATCAAGTTAGATAATCATTTTGTATATATATACGCTTGCGTTGCGTGCGGGTGCGTGCGTCGCGCGCCCATATACACACGTATACGCTATATACACATAACATATATATATTTATAAAGCTTCACTTCTTTCTTGTTCAAAAGAGCTATAAACGTTAATAATTAACATGTCAACAAGTATAGGAAGATAGATTTATAATGTTAATATCATGCACATAATAATGTACGTAAACAGTTATTCTATTACATAAATTTACATACACACGTACAACACAACAAGCTCAAACAACACATAAAGGCCAAAAGACATCTTAAAGATGTCTAAAGGACGATAAGATATCCTTAAGTCGTTTTTTAGGGACATGTGCTGTCTGGGAAGATATTTTTTTAATAACGCAAATGATAACTATCAATAATAACAGCAATAGACTCAGAGTATTAACGATATTAATTAGGGAAATTGGCAAATAAGAGCCAAGGCGCGATTATTGGTGCGCAAACTTCTTGTTGTTAAATTTTATTGACAGGTATACATTAAAAATGATATGCATAAATCATTTTTAATGCATACTTGTGAATAAAATTTAACAACAGAAAGTTTGCGCACCGATAACCGCGGCTTGGCTCTTATTTGCCAGTTTCCCCAATTAGTATCGCAAATGATAATGTAATTTGAAATTTTTTAAATTAAATATTATAAATAATGAACATAATATGTAATGTGGTATGCAAAATTTAAGTAAATGAGAGAGTGATTAGTATTTTCAATATTTTCAATATTTGTAAAACAGAAAATTTGAGAGAGGGCTGTTTAAAATAAAATCCAATATTTTATTCTTGCAGTTTTTATTTCAAACACAAATCTACTTTCTAATTTTTGCTTTATTAACATTTATCTATGTAGAGGATAAGGACTCACCTGACGTTACAAAAAGGGTCACCGCGAGGATTAACATCGTTGCTCGTTCGTAGGAAATCATTCCGGACATTAAAATACGACTGCTTGAAATCACACAAAAAATCAAATACAAAATTTCGTTTTCAAAAATAGTAGTAGATATTGAACGATTCAGATGACCGTTTGAAAACTGCCGATACCAAACGTGTCCAGTGTGATACTGAGGAACCAACACCCTCTTTACCAAGAGCACTTGGTCTCCTTCTCTCCCTCCCGCCTTCTGTCTCTTTTTCTCTGACTGTCAATCGCTAGGAAGTCTCTCCTCTTTGCGTAACATATAGTTTCTTTTTATGAGAGATATAACGAGTGTACGAATTTCATTGTGTGTCAGAGATATAAGTATACAGAATATTGAAGAGAATTTTAACATTTCCTTTAAATTAATATTATATCTTTTCATTTAGAATTGATCTTTTTTTTTTGCCTCATTAGGTACTCGTGACGATTCAATAATTTTTGCTTCCTCATAGAGGAAGCTTTGTTTTCAAAGTATTTTTTCCAGTTTTCTATGCCAATATGTTTAGAATGTTCAAAAACGTCAAAAAATCACATTTTTAGAAAATGTCCGTATGTATATATATATGTATGTATGTATGTACGGAATATACATTGTACACACTCTAACTTTCGCAAATTTTGAGATTATCGGATTAAAATTTTTTACACGAATAGAATATTATTAAAGGACGGTTGGTATTGAATTTGTTAAGGATCGGTGAAAGAGTTCATTTTTTATAAAATTTTGAATTTTTTGAGAAATATCTGTGCACGCTGTAACTTTTGTAAATTTTGAGATATCTTCCTCTATGAGAAAGTTAAAATTGAAAAATCCGTTTTAAGAAACTTAAGCTTTGTGAGCGAAATAAAATGATGAGGAAGCAAAATGTGCAAGTTTCTAATTTGCACAATTTTTATCTTGTTTAATTTTTGCTTTATTTTAAATATCCTGCGCGATAAGTACACATAAAATAAAAGAGAACTTTGTTAAAATAAAATCCATGCTCTATACTTCTACACAATTTTTCTCGACAATTTTTGAAACATTTAATTTGTACCCTGCCGACTGATTAAGAAAGGTCAGGAAAGCATTTGATCCTATTGAATATTACCGACCTCACTTTGTTATTTGACCTGTTCACCTTGGTAATCGCTTCTGCGGTGTTCATTCATCCGTCTGATGTACAATATGCATGTGTTACATATAAAGTGAAGTTTATTGTTGCAGAGGAGGATGTTGTGAATCTAGAAAGTCTATATCTTATTTGACGACTAGTGTTCCAATTATGAAACTCTTTAACCTTCAACAAAATGTCTCTTCCGGTCAAGCGTATTAAAATATTTAAACTCCGAGTGAATATAGAAAAGGATCCCGCAAATCTTTAACATTAAAAATTAATGACATTGTATAATATATGTATATATTATTATAAAATCAAATATATTAT